AAGGGGGGGGGTGAGAAAGTGCCCCCCCTTCCTGAACCATACCAGGCCACAAGCTCTCAGCATGGGGGAGGGGTGCTTTGGGGCAGGGGGCTCTAGGCCCATTGGTTGTGTGTGTTTGCGTGGGGGGGGGGGGTGACATCGGAATCTAACAGCCCTCTTTAACAAGGGGTTACACAGTGATATCACCAGGTGACCCCCACCCCTATGTTTACCTGTCATTCGGCTGTGTCCCTAGACAGGAACAGGTTGTGTTTGTCGGGTGGCATTTTTTTTTCTGTTCAGGTCAGCATTTATATGGATTTTTTTTTTTTTAAATAAAGGACTTGTCAAAAACTGTTGTTGTGTTTTTATTTTCTTTGACTTTTTTTGGTGGTAAATGAGTAGGGGTACTATGTACCCCATACTTATTCACATGGACGGGGGATTTGTTAAAGGGGGCTGACAGATTCCGATGAATCACCCCCCACAACCACCAGGCAAGGGTTGTGGGGAAGAGGCTCTTGTCCCCATCACCATTGGGACAAGGTGCTTTGAAGGTGGGGATCCCCCCTGCCCCAGAGCACTCCCCCCCATGTTAAGGGCATGGGCATGGTTCAGGAGGGGGGGCACGCTTTCTCTTCCCCCCCTTTTCTGGCCTGCCAGGCTGCATGCTAGGATAAGGGTCTGGTAAGGATAGGGGGGACCCCCAGGTTGTTGTGTTTTTTTTTTTTTTTTTTTAATTACTGGGAATTTTTGTGTTTAATTTTTAGCTGTCAGCAGGGAAACCTGTTGACAATTGATGAGTCATCGGTTTACACTGTTCAACAGGTAAAAAGTTTTGGGCATAAAATTAGCTAATCTTACATAATTTTGGGGTGCTGAAAACGAAAATGACCCTAAAAAATGTTGATTGGCTCTAGTTTCCATGATATATTCACCCATCTAATGACGTAAGCCATTCAAAATTATGATGCAACTTCAGCTGCATATTGCGCAATTGATACTGGTGACCAATAGAAAATTGCATGTATACTGAGATGATGCAATATTAGCCTTTTAATTTGCATCACTTCACTGCATAAAAGCTGCAGTATCTGTAGCTGATTGTAGTTCGACAGCGTCTTTACATTTCGTTTTATGCTTATATAGGCTACTCAGTAATGCCTCGAACTTGTGTGAATAAAGCAGATAATTTCTGCTATATCTGCGGTGAAATAACTTTTATCTCACAAAAAAGGAGGATAACAGGAATGATTAAGAAAGCCCCAACTTGTATTTTGGCTGCAAGATAGGAGACCAGGACAAGAGCTTGGGCACCACATATATGCTGCAATTCTTGTGGGACGGCACTGGAGCAATGGTTGAATGGAAAAAAGGCATCTATCCCTTTCGCTGTGCCAATGATTTGGAGAGAGCCAACAGATCATGTTAGTAATTGTTACTTTTGTATGGTGCCTCCAATTGTAAAAGGGCTAAATAAGAAGAAAAAGTTATCTGTGCACTATCCAAAATATTCCATCGGCAATACGTCCAGTTCCTCATGGAGAGGGGCTACCAATTCCTAAAGCACCAGAATCCTTCGTGGTTGAGTCAAGTGAGGAAGAACCTGAAGCGTGTAGTCACGTGCAGTTGTAAGAGATAGCCCTTTCCTCGAATACAAGAGAAAAGCCAAGAGATGCAAAACCGACACAAACTGAAGACAAAACTAGTGAGAATCCTAAGTATTAAAATGATTCAACTTAGCTTATGGCTATAATTTTTCTTGGTAATCCTATGCAATATATTATGCCATTTAGGCTTTGTTATGTAGTCAATATCACTTGCTTTATATTTGTGGAAAGACATCTATCTATATAATTATTTGCATTATGTAGTCATTACGCCTATAGTAGAAAACTTTCCGTTTACAGAAAAACTAGAGCCAATTGACAAATTTCATTGTTATATTTGAACTCAGAATGTGAAATTCATTAAGAAATGGATCCTTTTGTTTCCAAAACTGGCAAAAAATAAAAATTTGTTGAACAGTGTTACTAAGGACGTGGCGGCTGGCTTGCTGGCACGCTTCTTAACAAACAGCTATTCTTCACACAGAATTCTGATTGGTCAATCAATTTTTGACCAATCCAAATTTGAATTGCTCCAAAAATTTGGAATTCGTTAGAAAATTAATAAGTAAAACAAAACTAAACAAACAAAAGAAAACAAAACTAAATTAGTAACATGACGAATTTGAAACATTTCCGTTTTGCACATGTCTAATCAGGTCTTCCATCATTTTCAGCCACAGTCTTAATTTATACATTATGTAGTTCACCTTTGTGAAGGAATTTTTAGAATGATCCTTACTGGACCATCTTCACTCCCACCACTTGTAACAGTGTGAGTGTTTGGAAATATGATTGCCATTTCCAAAATGTTTTCATATAGGTGTAAAAAACTTGGACTTGTCTGGAACGTGGTAAACATGATTATTTCGGAAATTAAATAGTGCTTTGTAATTATCTTATGACTTCTAGGCATAATTCTGAGCTATCAAGGGAAATTTCTAGGAACATCTAGAAAGTAGCCACCTTATCTTGGGCAACAGAGCAGAAAAGTATGGCTGGCATATGTAACTGATGTAAGGTTAACCTATAGTTGTATAACCACTCGTAAGGACCAATAATTTTATGATTTGTTGATTATCTTGACTGCAGAGTACACTAGATTTATGTGTAGGCTGATGGGGGGCCCAGGTGGTAGACCCCCCAGAAAGAAGGCAAGGACACACAATTGTTCAAATATCAGAACTTGTATTATCAAAACATTTTAACAAACAGTAACAGAGTCTATCTGGCTGAACTGGTAGCAACACTCATAGAATTTATGCAGTACTGTCAAGCGGGTTCTTGTCCCTGACCTAGCGACACGCAGAATGTGTGCCAACAGCAGGGGGACAGTGATTTGTATAAGTACTGCCCTCACTCAAGTTGGCTACAGTGGTCACCTGGGTGGCAGCATCCAATTGGACAGCAGTCCACCCAATGACATGTACAGAGGCTTAAAAGGAATGGGTATTCCTCCTGTCCTCCACTCTCCCGCAGGATTTTACAACAGCACCACCTGTGTAGGGAGGTCAACCTACACTTGCCTATATACACTATATTGCCAAAAGTATTGGGATGCCTGCATTTACACGCACATGAACTTGGCATCCCAGTCTTAGTCCGTAGGGGGTCAATTTTGAGTTGGCCCTCCCTTTGCAGCTAGAACAGCTTCAACTCTTCTGGAAGGCCATCCACAAGGTTTAGGAGGGTGTCTATGGGAAGGTTTGACCATTCTTCCAGAAGCACATTTGTGAGGTCAGGCACTGATGTCGGACGAGAAAGCCTGTCTTACAGTTTCCGCTCTAATTCATCCCAAAGGTGTTCTATGGGGTTGAGGTCAGGACTCTGTGCAGGCCAGTCAAGTTCCTCCACCCCAAACTCACTCATACATGTCTTTATGGACCTTGCTTTGTGAAATGGTGTGCAGTCATGTTGGAACAGGAAGGGGCCATCCCCAAACTCTTCCCACAAAGTTTGGAGCATGAAATTATCCAAAATGTCTTTGGTATGCTGACACCTTAAGAGTTCCCTTCACTGGAACTAGGGGGCCAAGCCCAACCCCTGAAAAACAACCCCACACCATAATCCTCCCTCCACTAAACTTTACACTTGGCACAATGCAGTCAGGCAAGTATTGCTTTCCTGGCAAACGCCAAACCCAGACACGTCCATCGGATTGCCAAACAGAGAAGTGTGATTGGTCACTCCAGAGAATATGTCTTCACTGCTCTGGAGTTTAGTGGCAGCGTGCCTTACACCACTGCATACGATGCTTTGCATTGCACTTGGTGATGTAAGGCTTGGATACAGCTGCTCGGCCATAGAAACCCATTCCATGAAGTTCTCTATGCACTGTTGTTGTGTTAATCTGAAGGCCACACCACCAGTTTGGAGGTCTTTAGCTATTGACTCTGCAGACAGTTGACGACTTCTGCGCACTGTGTTCTTCAGCATGCACTGACCCCGCTCTGTCATTTTTATGTGTCCTACCACTCGTCGAATTGCTGTTCTCAGTTGCTTCCACTTTGTTTATAATCCCACTAACACTTGACTGTGGAATATTTAGTAGCCAGGAAATGTCACGGATGGACTTATTGCACAGGTGGCAACCTATCACGGGACCACGCTTGGAGTCACTGAGCTCCTGAGAGCGACCCATTCTTTCACAAATGTTTGTAGAAGCAGTCTGCATGCCTAGGGGCTTGATATTATACACCGGTAGCCATGGAGGTGATTGGAACACCTGAATCCAATGGTTTGGAGGGGGGCCCCAATACATTTGGCAATATAGTGTATGTGAATATTGGGTGCAATTGGAAGTCATCTTGATGACCCTCACAGGTGTGTACAGCATGTGTCTAATATATCCTTATCTGATTTGGATCTACTCACAGGCTGTTGCGGTTTGCTTTTCAAAAGAACCCCTATTCAGCTTATATGCATGTAATTCCCCGTAATCATCATTATTTTAATTTATAATATATAATAATTATTATTATAATACTACAGGATTTATTTAGCGTTAGCATATAATAGTTTGCGCAGCGCTTTGCAACATGAGCGCAGACAGTACAGTTACAATACAATTCTATACACAGGAGGAATCAGAGGGCCATGCTCATTAGAGAGCTGACAATCTAGGAGGGAGGGTCAAGTAATACAAAAGGTACTAGCTGTGGGGGATGAGCTGATTGAGAAAATAAAACTCCAGTTGTTAGATGGGGGGCAGAATAGGCTTCTCTGTAGAGGAGGGTTTTCAGGGATCGTCTAAAAGCTATAGCAGAATAGGAGATAGTCAGACAGATTGGAGTAGGGAGTTCCATAGGATAGCAGAAGCTTGAGAAAAGTCTGAAGTGAGCTAAGCAGGAGGTAATGAGGGAGCTAGAGAGAAGGAGGTCTTGGGGAGGAACAAAGAGAACGATTAGGTTGTTATTTAGAGACTAGCAGGGTGGACTGACCATTCGAGCACTCGAGCACTGCCCGAGGGCCCGGGGGTCAGTAGGGGGCCCCATGAGATGCCCCTGGTACCTTTCATAGGCTTTTTTGGGTGTGGTTTCAGTGTGGTGAGGACACAGAGGCCCCATGATCCCCTATTGCCCGGGGGCCCCATGAATTGTCAGTCCACTCCAGGAGACTAGGTTAGTGATGTAGCTGGGGCTGAGTTGTGAATGGCTTTGTAAGTTTTTGTTAGCATTTTGAATTTAATGCACACATGTCATGTCAACCTGTAGCACAGTCAGGATATAGGAATGCCTCCCTGTTTTTTTTTTTTCTTCTTCTTACAGTAAACCTGGCCCTGTGATGGATTTGGTAAAATGCCTATTTCGTTTCCTATTGAATATATATATATATATGCTATTTCTATAAGTTTTATAAATATTTACTTTTATACTTGAATATATATGTTGTGTGAATATTTTCTGCCTGCTGGGCTTTGTGGTACTTTAAGAAATCCTTGCTTAAGAAATATTTGCTCACAGGAACAGACCCCTCCCACCGTGTGATTTGGAAGACAAAAGAATGTTTTTCTCTTTTTAAGATAAGACTGAAGAAGATCACACCTATACCATGACTGAGATTGTTTTCGTGTGGAAATGACCAATCAAAGACTAATAAAATGCTTATGCTGTTGTCACATGACTCTTGCATCATTCTGCATATATAAGTTCACTTTCCCATTATAATAAACTAGAAGTATTCATAGACTGAACTTGTGTGTCAGCGTGAGTGTCTTCCAATGTGCGCACATTTCAAAGCTAGCGTCATAAATTAGGACAGGAATAGATAAGCACTGGACGATTAGGTCCATATCTAAAACAGCCCCATGGTCATGACTATTTTCAGTTTCATGGTAGTTCTCCCTGTGCTTTTAACGGTTTTCTCCCACACTCCAAAAAACATGCTGGTACGTCAACTGGCTCCATCCAAATTGGCCCCTAGCATGTGTATGTATGTGCGGTAGGGATGTTGGATTGTAAGCTCCTTGAGAACAGGGACTGATGTGAATGTACAATATGTAAAGCACTGCAAAAATTTGTAAACCTATATAAAATATTTGAAGTTAAATAAATGGCTGTCCTTTTCATAAGAATGAAACTGCATTGGACCCATTGTTCCTGGATGATATGATGAAGACTGATGAAGGGGCCCCATTCTCATGTTCATGTTCACTTTTGTTATTTCCTCTTCCATTTTCAGCCTGAAAGGACCTTAGCTAAGCTTCTTTGAAAATTTGACACATCCCTTTTGTGTTTGAGGTTTTTCTCTTCATAGTAATTAGGAAGTGTGAATGAGTAACAAGAAAATCCTAATTTGCATGTGTTTAAGTGCATTTCATTCTTGAAGTCTTATCCATCTGAAAACAAAGCTGTAATTAAATCATGGAAATTGCATTTATTTCCTTATGAGATTGGGAAGAGTGGAAGAGGCATGTGACAAAGCACACTTTACCTGGAGCTCCTTGTAGCTAAGCCATAACTCTTCTGCTCTTAAACAGGGCTAGAGTTCTGTATAAGCAGCCTTGGCATTCGGCAACAAACCAACTGGTGGGGTTCGACAGGCCACATAGGCTTTGGCCAAGGGTTCCATACAGAAAAAACCCATGAGGGCACAGCTAAGTGCAGTGTGAAATGCTTTATTCCAAATGAATGAAATATAAAAAAGACCAGATACACAAACCCCAGCATAGCAGGTTTGAGAAAAGCCACTTCAACTTCCAGATTCCCTGTGTGATGCCTTCAGATTTCTCCACTGCACGCTGTCAGACTGTGTGTCTAATGAACTGCCACAGAGTGGCATAGGATGCCGGTTGCCTCTACCCACTGTCAGGGCCGGATCTAATCTGGGGGTGCAGTAAAAAAAGTAAGGGGTCATATTGTCAACACTTTGTGTGAGTCCCTGACAGTCTGTCTCACAGTGTCACGGCCTGGCAAACACTAAACTGTATTAGGCTGTTATTATATTAGGATGAATAAACAGAACCTGTGCCCCCTTATATCAGATGTCCTCATCAGAGTCCCCCTTTATATCAAGAATCCTCAACAGAGTCGCCCTTTACATTGGGTTCCCATTAAATTGCCCCCTTACATTAGGGTCTCCATCACAGTGCCCCTTTACATCAGGTGTCCCCATCAGAGTGCCTCCTTATGTCAGGTGTCCCCATCAGAGTTACTCCTTACATCAGGTGTCCCCAACAGAGTGCTCCTTCACACCAGGTGTCCCCATCACAATGCCCCTTTACATCAGGATCCACATCAGAATGCCCCCTTACATCAGGTGTCCCCATCAGAGTGCCCGCTTACATCAGGTATCCCCATCAGAGTGCCCCCTTACATCAGGTGTTCCCATCACAGTTACTCCTTACATCAGGTGTCCCCATCACAATGCCCCCTTACATCAGGATCCACTTCAGAGTGTTCCCTTACATCAGGTGCCAGAGTACAATACAGTTTGCATGGGATTATATAGATTGGACATTACATACACTTTAAAGCCAAGCTTTGTTTTTACATTTGAATAGGCAGGGAAGGATTAGCAACTCTGTCAGGTTTTAATTGCTGTGTAATTGGTAAAGTGAAGAGTGCTTGACTACTTCATGTCTTGTAATTTGTGATAGTGCCATGGAGTCTAGTATGCAGCTCCTGGGGACCCTTGGGAGGCTATCCCTGTGACATTGTAGAAGACGCTTGGGAGACGACAAGCCACTAAACTGGTAAAAGTCCACAAAAACTTGGTATCAGCCAAACGTGACATGGAAAGGTGACGTATACAGTTTTCAGCAACTATTTGTCATGTTGATTTCTCAGCCTAGTCCATTTTTTTAACCACCATTTGACCAGCCCTGATTAAGGGGGGCACTTGTAGGTTCCAAAACATGTTTGCACACCTTATGGAACACAAGTAAAGTTTTTTTCAGGACTTTAACCTGAGACATGATGTTTTTGTCTTTCCAAGCTCCTTCTAGGTTTATATTGCTGTCTGTGTTTCCGTTGGAATGATACACCTTTTCTGTCCTGGTGTCCATTATTTTCCCTCACTAAAAGTAAAGAACAATCCAAAATGACAAGTTGTCCCCTGAATAGGAGAAAAAAAGACATTCATCCAATAGGGATATGTTGTGTTGGCAACAGTCTCAGAAGATTTTCCTAACTTTAGAGTAGCCATTCTCTACCAGGGTTCCATGAGACCTTAAGGTTCCTCCAGAAGTAGTTAGGAGTTTCTTGAGCTGTGGCTGACTGACCTCCCATATGATGGGTACTGCATAGATTCAACACCACTTCACTGAGGAAGCTGCATGAACCTAATGATTTTTTTAGCTGTCTGTTAATGTGGCATTCTGACCACTACTGTTAGGGTAATTTTAATCCCACTGACAACCTATGTAAGAAGAACTTGTAGCACTACCCCCTTAGGAGTTGCTGAGTTTTTGGGTCCCCCTATAGTCCTGCACAGCCAGGCAACATGCATATTCTTCCTCCATGCTTGCACACTGAGACAGTAACCAGTCCTTAAGCTTGTTTTTGTGATTTTATTAAGGGGTATTGAACTTGGATGGGGTTGAGGGATGCATGGGATGCCCAAGGAACTGTGAACTGCGAGGAAAAACTCCTTATCAACATGTACAAGACTATGGACAGGAAGCAAAAATGTGTTTCTTCTTTGAGAGTCCTAAAGTGTACCTCATCAGACCCCAGATGAATCCTCCTCTTCACCCAGCAGTACCAAGGGTATTCCCTAGGCAATGGGATCTAGAAGCTGCCAAAGATTAAACAGTCCTGGCTGACGAGCTAGTTGGGTTCTTCACCTGACTGCCCTCTCCCCTTATCCCGCTCAGGGGGTGTAAGGTTACTCACACTGTCCTTCCTAAAAGCTTTATGGGTTGGTGGCTGCCTTCAGGCCTTCTACTGGGCTGGCTCCCTCCCTGCTGCTCAGGCTGTCTCTCCTAATAGATGGAGGCACAGTGGAGATCCGCTCTGCCAGAACCGACCTGTGGATAGGCCCCTTCCCTGGGCCCCCTCCTAGGCTCCACACTCCAGCCTCCTACTCCATCTTCCACCCACAACACACTGACCACTTCCTGCTGATTAGGCTCAATCATATCTGAGGGCTGTCCTGACCCCATGCCAAGCCTCTTGCTTTGGGATTGGTCAAGATCCCTCAGAAATGCAGATTAGCCCCTCCTCAACTCCACCCACTGCCTTCTAGAAACGTCTCAAGCTTCTAGAGCAGGGGGAGGTATCAGGGAACTGACCTGCAGGGCCCTCAGCCCTGACATAGAGTAACCTGGCTGACTCATCCCAGGCTGCTTTTCAGCCTCTGCCTAAAAAACCTAGCTAGCTCCCCCTGGCTAACTAGAAGGGCGCTACACATTCTTCCCACTGACCACCAAAAAAATTGGTTTTATTAAGATTCCTCGAGACCTGAAAATGATTTCAAGGGTTCATATCCTCTCACTTCCTCTTGTGTCTAAGGCACTAGAAATAAAGGGAAATCATTTCAAAATGAAAGCGATGATGACAATAAAATTGTGAGGGGTTTTAACTCTTCTCTATGATATTCCAAATCTAAATGAGTTTTGGTTTTACCTATATTTTAAGGAATATTTTATGGGTACAAGGATTGCAACATATTGCTGCTATGTATACCGCAAGTAAGTTAAGCAAGGAGGTCCAACAACCTCACCACCAATATTTATCACCATGTAGCCGAATGCACCACTTATCTTCTCCACCTCGAAGTGTCCGTCTTTCCTAAAGTTGGGAGGTTTGCTGGCTGGACAGATTACAAATTCTATTTCAATTGTGTGTTTAGTCATCTGGCTTTAGCTTTATGGTCTTCAGATCTCCCCACATACACTGGTTCACTCCTGTGTCTTCCATGCTAACGTGCTGTGACATTGAGGTTACTGCAGTACTGGTATAGGGTCGTCCAGCTCCCAGGGCAAGGATCCAGAACTGTACACCCCCCCTCCATTGTTAATGCATGCTGTAGAACAGGTGTACCACCCTGAGTCCATTATTTTCCCCCTTGCTTCTCTGATCCCAGGGAAGTTGCCCCTCCGCCCACCGCTTGTCCAGGCCGTGGGTTACTGTCTCAGCAGCAGAGTTGGATCTTCCACAAGGAGGAGCCCAGGACTGGGTGGATGTCTAGGGGCCCAGCTACAACCTTTATGATCCTGCAGTAAACCAGGGGGATAGTTCAATTGGTCAAAGCTGTGCACATGCCTATCACTTCACAGGGGAGGATGTGCTTGTTGGCTGTTGGTGACTAATGGGGCCAAGCAATACAAATGACAGTTTCTCTGTGGCTATTATAATATTTTATCAAGTCAATTGACAGAATGGGGAGTCAAAACTACTACCTTGAATAGGTCCCCCTTCTGCCTTAATCCATCTCTGGTGGGTAGGTATATGTCCATCTGATGACCAGTTTTTGTTGGGAATGCAACAGCATGTACTATAATGTACTATATACAGTATTCTGTGGTAATATCACTTGACCAGTAGATGGCACTGTACGCTAAAGGTTACTAGTTGTGTATGTGTAAAACTTGCTGCTTCTTTCCTTTTCTCTATCATCTCTTCAGGAAGTAATGAGTCTGTAATATGTCTGCTGCAATGTGCTCTGTATGTTTGTAACTTAAGCCACACAAGTAAAGCCTGAATTCTGCTATCACTACCAGTGTCTTCTATAACACATAACCAAAGGTTATGGGCCCAGCTCCAGACACTGGAAAAAGGAAAACTACAAGCAAGTAAGTGCTGCATTTACAATCCAATTCACTGAAAGATGGCAAGTGCTTCAGATATGAAGTTTACAATAGCAAAGCTCAACAACACCAACTACCAGCTATGGAAGTTTAAGCTTGAAATGCTGTTATCCAAAGATGACTTGTGGCAGGTACTAGATACACACAGACCCAATGACAACCCGGAAGAATGGGACAGAAAAAACAGGCAAGCAAAAGCAGTCATAAGCCTGTTAGTGGAGGACGATCAACTCATTCATATAAGGAAAGAAAGCACAGCTAAAGGTATGTGGACTGCATTACAAAAGCTGCATGAACGTGCAAACCTAAACAGTAAACTATATCTACTGCGCAAACTGTATAAGATGAGGCTGGAAAAAGGGCAGGAAATTGGTGAACATGTAAATGCCATGCTAGAAATTGTGGACCAGCTGGGTGCAATAGGTGAAGAATTAAAAAGCAACCATGTTCTGTCAATACTTCTGTGCAGCCTTCCAGAATCATACAGTGCCCTTATAAATGCTCTAGAAACTAGACTGGAAACTGAACTGACGCTAGAATATGTTAAGGGAAAATTAATTGATGAATACAGCAGAAGAAAGGAAAATTTGCATAGTGAAGAGAACGAGAGACCAGAGGCAGGTCTGAAGGTGCATGAAGGCACAAGACAAAGCAAAGAAACCAGGGTATGTTTTCGCTGCAAAAAGGCCGGTCACCTGAAAAAGAACTGTTCAATCTGGAAAGTGAGCAGCGAAAGCGGGAGCTACCCACAAGAGAGAGAGAGCTAAAGCAGTCATGAAAGAAAATGAAAGTGCATCATGGAGTGGTACTTTTAAAGTGACTCAGAATAGTACCTCACACGGATGGTACATTGACTCAGGGGCAACAAGTCACATGACAAGCGACGAGACATTCTTCACAGAAATTGATTTTAGTGTAAAAGATAAAGTCTTCCTAGCAAATGGGAAAAGTATTACAGCGGAAGGTAATGGTCAGGGATTTCTGAACTGCAAAACGCCATCAGGGGGCAAGCAGAGCATCCTTGTAAAGAATGTTCTATATGTTCCAAGCCTAGAAGGAAGCCTCCTATCAGTTAAAACCCTTGCAAGCAATGGACTCACTGTCCAGTTCAGAGGTAATGAATGCACAATTCAAAATGGAAAGCAAATTCTAGCAAGAGGAAGATTAAATGAACATCTGTACAAACTCATCACTGAAAGTGAGAAGGCTAATGCGGCAACTCATAACCCACATGGCAAGTGCATCCACCTGTGGCATAGAAGATTGGGGCATCGAAACCCAGAAGCTATAAAGGACTTTGCAAAGAGAGGTCTATCAGAAGACATGAAAATATTGCCTTGCTACACACTCAGCAAGTGCACGTGTTGCATCAAAGCAAAGGCCACCCGAACCCCTCTTCCACAGACCAGTCAGAGTAAAACCATTAAACCCATGGAACTGATACACAGTGATGTGTGCGCACCAATGAAAACCATCACACCTGGCAGGAACAGATATTTACTGACTTTCATCGATGATTATTCCCGGTACACAATAACGTATCTAATGAAGCACAAAAGTGAGACATTAGAAAAATTTCAAGAGTTTGTAGCTATGACAAGCAATAAGTTTCAAAGGAAACCTGGAATACTACGCACTGACAATGGAGGGGAATATATGAATAAAGAGATGGAATCATACCTAAAGAAACAAGGTATTATACACCAAACAACTGTACCATACACTCCTGAGCAAAACGGTGTAGCGGAAAGAAAGAATTGCACTCTTGTAGAAATGACAAGATGTATGATTACGGACGCTGGCTTACCTAACAAATACTGGGGAGAAGCAATAATGACTGCAACATACCTACAAAACAGGCTCCCATCAAAAGCTATTGAGAGTACAACATATGAAATGTGGAATGGATCAAAACCTAACGTAGGACATATCAGATTATTTGGCTGTAAAGCATATGCCCACATTCCAAGTCAGAAACGCTCTAAGTTGGAGAACAAAGCCATAGAAGGCATTCTGGTCGGCTACAGTGAGCAGAGTAAGGGATATAGAATCCTTTGTCCAAAGACCAACAAGGTCACAGTAAGCCGCAGTGTTTATTTTGATGAAAGTGAATACAATTCTTGAAAAATGTGGAGAGGATTTACACACTGAATCAGCAAGAGACACTGATTTATGCGAAGCAGGACAAGAGCCAGAACAAGAAGTGGAACTTACAATCAACGATCCAATAGAACCCACTGAACAACAAGAAATCAGAAGATCCTCTCGAATGACAAAAGGGATACCACCCCGCAGGTTATCATATGCTGCTAAAACACATCAAACACAGGAGCCAACATCCTGGGAAGACATAGAAACTTTGCCGAGAAGGGAAGCCCATCAGAGGAGATGACTGCAGACGCACTCACCAAACCTTTGCCAAGGGAACGTTATTGTTTTCTACAAAAGAGACTAAATGTCATATAATTATGCACATGCCGTTGAGAAGGGGTGTTGGGAATGCAACAGCATGTACTATAATGTACTATATACAGTATTCTGTGGTAATATCACTTGACCAGTAGATGGCACTATACACTAAAGGTTACTAGTTGTGTATGTGTAAAACTTGCTGCTTCTTTCCTTTTCTCTATCATCTCTTCAGGAAGTAATGAGTCTGTAATATGTCTGCTGCAATGTGCTCTCTATGTTTGTAACTTAAGCCACACAAGTAAAGCCTGAATTCTGCTATCACTACCAGTGTCTTCTATAACACATAACCAACAGTTTTGGGGGAAGCAATGCATAGAAGAGATTTTCTGAATATTATCCTTAGTTTCCCTCCAGGTGCACCAGTTGGATCTACAGACAATAACAATTGGGTGACTTCTCTGTCAATGTCTATTGACAGCGGAGCTGTATGAGGTCCCGTGATTTCTAACAGCAGACCTACTTCAGAGTACGACCAATGGATGTCGCGCAATATCAAGAAAATTTTAACACTGTCCGTGCAGTTGGGCAACCCCTACAAGATATAATGGCTTGTTTTGGTCTATGGTACCTTTAAACCACGTCCTTCTGATTTGCCTTATCCCTTGCTCTGCTAGCAACCGGCTCTCTCCTCCTCCTTCCAGCACTCTGGGTTGTGGGTGGGCTTTCTGCATCATCACTTACAATGCAGGACAGCTGGTTTTGCATTGTACTTGATCGTGTCAGAGTCAGAGCTGTGGATAAGGGGGTACCATCAGTCCTTCTGTACGGGGCCCAGTCCAGCAGGGGGGCCCAAGCAGCTGAGTGAATTGGATGGGCAGGGAGGGTGAATGGCATGGCGGAGTGCAATTACTGGAACTGATCCCCTGTATGGCTCTCTACAGCAGCTGAAAGCTGACTTCTTCTTCTCTCCCTCCCACTGGCTTTAAGCTGCTGCAGAGAGAGCCATACAGGGTATTGATTCCAGTAATCCCCCCCCTTTCCTGTTCACCTATCACCTACCCTGTGCACCATATGTTGCCCCTCTGTGTGCTCCCACCCAGGGGTGGACTGACCATTTGGAAACTCGGGCACTGCCCGAGGGCCCGGGGTCAGTAGGGGGCCCCATGAGATGCCCGAAGTACCTTTTTTCATAGTTTTTTTTGAGTTTGGGTAAGGACACAGGGGCCCCATGATCCCCTATTGCCCGGGGGGCCCATGAGTTGTCAGTCCGCCCCTGCTCCCACCCCTGCAGTGCTGTCACCGAGCACACAATAGGATCCTTCAAGGTGGAGAGTCACATTTACAGCCCCTTCCTTTCCTGAATGAACACAGTGAGTGATCATTACCTCTCACTATCACTCACTATGTGCATTCATAACTGAAGCATAGGAAACTGTGTTTTTTTTTTGGGAGGGCTGTCAAGTTGGCTGTGGTTTATAACAGCATCTCTGGTCAGAGTATGACCGATGGAAGGAGCGTTGAAGAAAAAAGTCTTCGGGGGAGCAGTTGCATGGAGATAAAGAGCCTGCTAAGAGGGAATGGGTAAATAAAACTGCCTTTAAAGGTGCCCTAAACAAAAACAAGCATGCTTCCCTTTGCAGTGTGGTGGTAGACCAATTGCAAGAGTAGTTTTGAATTTCTCCAGGAGTTCAGAGCTCCATCCATTGGTCACACTCTGACATCTAAATGTACAATGCAGATCCTGTAGTCCTGCATTGTAGGACTACAGGACCGGAGCGCCGACAATCTGGAGCGCCGAAGGGAAGAGGAGAGGGAACCAGCTGGGGAAACCGGCAGCAAGGTCAATAAAAACAGCAGGTGAGTAAAACTGCTTTTAATGATACCCTAGACAAAAAAAATGAGCATTTAACCCTTGCAGTGCAGGGATGGGGCTGCCCCACTGCAAGGGCAGTTTTACTGTTTCCCCGGAATTCAGCCTTAAGGCAGTTATTGCAAAGTTACTCTAGCTATTTATGGACATGACAAGATTCCTGAAAACTCTTCCTGTTCTAGAAGCTTCTCTCTGACACTCTGGGGTGTGTAGTAAAATCTCTGGCATCCATATAGCCGCTTCATTATTCACCACCAGGGACCAAACAAAATGGAGATTTGATGTGCAATGGAAATTTGATGCATCACCTCAGTATTATTTCCAAAGAAATCCATATAATTCCAGCAAAGAGCGTTTACCATACATTCGGCATACTTTCGTGGATTGTATTTTTGCAGTATATAATATATATGTGCGTGTATTTAATTTATTCATTAGGCTGGCCGAATGCCGCAAAGCACCCCCCTGCATGCTAATACCTTCGCTGTCTGGTTGTTTTTTTTTCTCTGCAGAAAAACACTGCGCTTTTCACCAGTTCATCAGACGTGAGAAGAATGATATCAACTTGAAGCCAATGCATTTCTGATCCCATGTTCATTCCTATGGAGTATAAAGTGGAGAAGCGCTGTCCTCTACTGGGCAAACTGAGGAACAACACCTAGCATTGTTACAGACTGGGATGACAGTGAGCGATGAGCAATGGATTTGCTGCATTGTACGTTGGGCTCAGTCGCTAACACTTTTTAAAAAAAAGTCTCCTAGAAAGGAATTGCTATTGAGCCCGGATATCATTCAGAGCTAAAATCTGCACAGCGATCCAGAAATTTCCTCTGCATACCTCCCAAATTTTGGCGCAAAGGACGTCTTTAGGCTCACAGTGTATTGGTAAAGGACAAACCCCTCCCCAGTTGCACGGACTGCGAAGAATCGATATGCAACAAGTGATTGGTTAAGGGCCCATTCACACCAGAAACTATGTGTTTCTGCATGCGCATTGATGCGCCATTGAAGATCATTTTTATGCACGGTGATGTGCATTTTTCCCAAGAGTATTTAGGGTCTTGTCTGCTTGCTTTTCCTTCAAGGTCACTTCCTTCTTCTTTCTTTCCTTGGGCTTTTATGTGCACTGCATTCCGTTGCCTTTACGTACTTTTATGCATTTACAAGCATTTGCAATACTAAAAATGCAGCTTGCTGTAACTTATTTTCTCTGCATTGCAATGGTGTCCCACTGCACCTGGTGTATATGGGGCCTAAATCTGTAACTTCTTTATTCAGCACTTTATACTGCTCCCCCACCCCCCGAAAACACAGATTAATTCAGTCCAGTGTGAATTTTAAATGGGAAAAAAAATGTCATGGTAAAAACCCAACGCATTTCATGAGCTTATAGATCCCCTTCATCAGAGCTTGTATGCTGGTAATGATGAATGATGATACTGCACTGGTAATTATGGGAAATGAAGATTAAGTAATCCATACATGGGTCAATAAAGTTACTAAGGGCAAAACTTTTTTTTAAGCTTTGGATAGGGTTGAGAGGGATAATTACTGGGATATAGATGAACTGTTCAATGGGGACACCAGTCCTGGTGATAGCCAGGGATTTCCCTCTCATTGGAGGGATTTCCTCTAAGGAAGTGATGGTAAATCACCTGAATGGGACACAAATAGTAGAAAAAAACCTGACAGAAATTATAAATTTCCTTTACTCTATTGAAAATAGAAAAAATTTGGCTTGAGTTCCACTTTAAACTTCATTTCCCATAATTACCTAACCAGTATTATTGTGAATCATTGCCAGCATACAAGTCTCGAAGAAGAGGGGTGTGTAGACCCTGAAACACGTTTGATTTTTACATCGCCATCAATTATATAAATAAATAAAAATAATACTAGAATGAATTAATCCATGTGGTGCTCTCATTCTTCCAATACCCTACAAATGTTTTCAAGGACTCCATAACACATAAGACACCCTTGCAGACAGAGAGCTTCTGTCAGGATCCAGGTTTGCACCTGCAACCTCTGCTGGAACTGAAAATGTCTCTTCTTGCTGAACCACCTGAGATGCTGGACAGTAGCTTGTCTGATCCATTAGACAACTTTGCCTTGTGTCTCTTGAATCTTTGAACTACTTGCACCACTTATTTAAGCCATTTCTTTGCACTTCCTGTTTGCCAGATTATCGTGCTCTCTCCAGCCAATAGCTTGCTCTTGTCATTTCTGCTGCTGTTTATCTCTTTACTATCACTTGTTGCTGATTTTTGACCTGTTCCTCAACTAAGCTTCTGCTTGATCCCAACCTGCAACTACTTGTTACCGACCTTTGGCTTGTTTACTGACTACTTTGCTGCTTGATTCCTACCTGCTCTGTCTGCTATTGGACCCAACTTGCTCACCTCCTGGTGGGGCAATCCTGAGGACCGTAACCTGGTACTAACATACAGCAAAGCTGGGGTGAAGACCGGTTAGTGCTTAGACCCCACACCTGGGGTGAGCCCGCATCATTATCCAAGGTGACCTGTTGTTGCACTTATCCAGCTGGTTGGTGGGAGCCTCTCTACTACTATAGTTTCTGGTCTCTGAGCCTGAACCCCGATCATGACAGCTACCTCCAAACTTCAGGAATTGTCCTACTTGTCCTTGATCATTCAAGGGTCCAACGTTCCTACTATAAAAAAAAACACATTATAATTCAGAGGTGGAATGAAAGGTTTAATGCAGTATGATGTATTTGGTAGTTACATAGTACATTTATTATATTGATCTGTCCATCAGACCAAAAGAAGGACATTAAAGGTTTAATAAGAAAGGTAGAGATTTGGGTTCCAAAACATGAACAGTTCTTCTAAATGAGCGACAGTTGGGAGGTACCAAGGCTATGTTTTCAGTTTTCGAACCCCATTTTCCATAATATTGGGGCCTCTACCTTACATCAGTCTTTCCCAACCTTTTCAACACAGAGGAACCCTTGAAATAACGTTCCAGTCTCAGAGAACCCCTACTAGGTCTAGCACTACTCTCTTGAGGGCCGCTGTGTTGTGGGTACCCCTATGCTTCTCTCCACACAGCCAGGCAACAGATGTTTCTCACACAGACTTGCATCTAAGAGACAGTAACCAGTCCATGGGCTTGGTTTTGTTATTTTATTAGGGGAAATCAACTTAGATAGGGAAATGGGGATTATGGGATGCCCAGTTGACTTGAATCGATGGAAGGGGAACAATCTCCTTCCTATGTACAAAGGAGGATCCTGGACTGTTTTTTTTTTTCTCGAAATCCGTCAGCTGATGCGGATCAGTAGCAACAGCCCTTTATGGGTGAGGAACTAGCAGACCCTCAAAAAACAGCTTAACTTCTTATAACTACATACAGGGATGTCTTCCCTCCCCTCTGTATAGTTGCTCCCTGCTCCACAGCCTGCAAACACTGCCAGTCCTCCTGGCTTCTTGGAAGATCACCCGGGACAAGGATAAAGAATTGAGCCCAGTGCTGTCCTAGAAAGCTTGCTACGTGTGGCAGTCTTCCCCCCTTGTAGAACCCAGAGAGCGCTGCTGTACTCACTGTGTCCTCTTTGCTCCTGTCTGCTCCAGATCTCGATCCCATTCATGCCTCACCGCTGAATGTATCCTTCTGAGCCAGCTCGAGCCTAGTCTGGAGGTGACCCCCCCCCGCCCCCCAGACCTAGGGGACCCATCCCAGGCACAGTCTCCTCATCACTCTATCTTCCACCCAACTCCTCTGTCAGTCTGACTCTTCCATATTTATGGGCCAATCCACCACTCTACCAGGGCCTCCAAACCTGGGATTGGCTGAACTCCCATGAACATGCAGATTAGGTCCCCACCCCTTCCTTCTTACCGTCTTCTGTATAGTTCTATGGTCCTCCAGAGTCAAGAGGAGCAACAACATGTTGAGTTATCCAGCTAACCTGCAGTAACGTGACCTCAATCACAGACTCACACAGTTACCATGAGTCATACACAATGATTTTACCTATGATACACTACACTATTGTAGCAGCACACTAGAGGGTGCTACCTAAGAATTAGTATATCTACAACTCATGATACATTAGTGTGTTTGGTCAGTGAGAAGAATGATCCTTACACTTGTGGTCATTGGTAAGAATTACCTCCATACAGATAGCTAAAAAGATCAATGGTGTCAGTGGAAACTTATCTGAGATCCAGAAATTGTTGCATGCTCACGGAACCTGTAGCAACCTCTGGAGGAACCCTAATTGAGAAACCATGCCTTATACTGAGGAGAGCCAAATCATGGAAACAGCTTTATGCAAGCTGGAATAGGTGTAGCTTTAGGTTGTAGAAGGTTCGCTGAATTTCTGAATGTTAACCCAAACCCCATTCCAATCAATAGGAGACGGATCTTTAAAATTAATTGCAACCATTTTCAAGGCTAACAGGAGATTTCCTAGAGATGAAAGTCCCATTCATACATTACAATTTGGAATCGCCATGATTCTGCACAGGATTCCAAATTGCGCTGCTATCGCTGCAAAAAATGAGCGTTTGGTAAGTAGCAGCGATTTTAGGAAAACATTAAAAATGCTAAATTCCTCTAAAAAACATGACTTGGAGAATACCCTGACCCTGATTGTGAAGTGGCGTATCTATATAATGTATACAACTGAGGAGGCAACATCAGATTGAGAGTGAACATCCACTTTAAGCACAATCCAAGTGAAATGCGTCAGTTGGGCATGGCCAAGGGCGGGGACTGTGCAGAAGCTGGTGGATTTAGAATAAATTTTAAAGAGTGATGCCATCAGAATGCAGCCCTGATCATTACACTTTAAGGGGCATGGATGGTTCAGTGGTTGCATGGCATTCCTCATGGCATGTCCTGCGCGTGACAACAGGGTCATCTTAACGGCTCCATTTAGACAAGACGTTGCTGCAAATAGTCTGCAGGAGATCAGCAGCAATGAGATGCCCTCACTAACGCATTTCACCAGGATTGGGTTTAATTATAGAGGTCATCTATGATTAGGCCAACTCCAAACAAATGCATCGGGGGGGGGGGGGGGCAAATGAAGGGGATTGTAAAGAAGCTGATAAATTTGTATTAAACTTGAAATGGTAACGTCATCAGAGCGCGGCCCTGATCTTCACACTTTAAAGGGTCGGGGACAGGGGTGGACTGACAACTCATGGGGCCCAATAGAACACCTCTGGGATATCATTTTGCGGTCCATCTGACGCCACCAGGTTGCACCTCAGACTGTCCAGGAGCTCAGTGATGCCCTGGACCAGATCTGGGAGGACACACCCCAGGACACCATCCGTGGTCTCATTAGGAGCATACCCCAACCAGGGGCGGACTGACAACTCATGGGGCCCAATAGAACACCTCTGGGATATCATTTTGCGGTCCATCTGACGCCACCAGGTTGCACCTCAGACTGTCCAGGAGCTCAGTGATGCCCTGGACCAGATCTGGGAGGACACACCCCAGGACACCATCCGTGGTCTCATTAGGAGCATACCCCAACCAGGGGCGGACTGACAACTCATGGGGCTCAATAGAACACCTCTGGGATATCATTTTGCGGTCTATCTGATGCCACCAGGTTGCACCTCAGACTGTCCAGGAGCTCAGTGATGCCCTGGTCCAGATCTGGGAGGACACACCCCAGGACACCATCTGTGGTCTCATTAGGAGCATGCCCCAACCAGGGGCGGACTGACAACTCATGGGGCCCCCGGGCAATAGGAGATCATGGGGCCCCTGTGTCCTTGCCCAAACTCAAAAAAGCCTATGAAAAAGGTACCAGGGGCATCTCATGGGGCCCCCTACTGACCCCGTGCCGTGCCCAAGTTTTCAAATGGTCAGTCCGCCACTGGCCCCAACGTTGTCAGGCATGTATACAAACACCAGTAAAGAAATGGCAAACCCAAATTCTCCTGCGCTTAGGAATGACTCTGTATGGATAGGACCACATCACAAATTTATTGGGTAATGCACGCCTTGCTGCCCTCAAATGACCGGGGAAGTAGTTGGTATGGCTCCCACAAGCACGTGGGGGCAAAACAAACTACTGAGGACCATTCTAAGTTGCTGCAATGACATTTCAGCAAAATGGACCAGCCTACTGCATAATCTTTTCACTTTGATTTTCGGGGTGTCTTGGAATTCAGTCCTCTGTAGGTCGATCATTTTCATTTCCATCAAACGATGGGGCGTCTTTACATTACCCAGTCCATATCGGTATAGATGAGATTTTGCCCCATTGAGATCTGATGGGTTTTTAATTTTTTTGAGCAGTGTACTTATTAGTGTCATCAATGAGGGGGGGGGGGGGGGGGGGGGGGGCTCAGCCAGGTGTTTTCTTATACTTATACTATTATACATGATTTATTTGGTAAAGTTTTTTCACTTTCTACTTAACACTCATGGCTGTTATGCTGATATTTGATTTTCTCTGATATTTGATTTTTTTATATTAATGTTTATTAGTATTATTTATATCTGATTTTTTAAATATTATTTCACTTGGATTGGATTTTGAATATATGTTTCTGAAGTGAGTAGCGCAGCATCAATATATATATTTATTTGATTGGTTTGCGGGAACACATTAGGGCGCTTGCAGCGGCTTGCAATTACTAGGCAGCACAGTGTCTAAATGGTTAGCACCAGGGGCAGACTGACAACTCATGGGGCCCCCGGGCAATAGGGGATCATGGAGCCCCTGTGTCCTTGCCCAAACTCAAAAAAGCCTATAAAAAAGGTACCAGGGGCATCTCATGGGGCCCCCTACTGCCCCCGGGCCCTCAGGCAGTGCCCGAGTTTCCAAGTGGTCAGTCCGCCCCTGGTTAGCATTTCCACTTAGCAGTACTTGGGTCGCTGATTCAAATCCCAACCACGGCACCTCCTGCTTAGAGTTTGCATGTTCTCCCTGTGCCTGCATGGGTTTCCTCTGGGTGCTACGGTTTCCTCCCACACTACAGAGACTAGGTTTATTGGATCCTGTCTAAATTGGCCTGTGTTTTGGACCTTAGATTGTACGCCCCTTGAGGGTTAGGGACTGATGTGAATGTACAATATATATGTAAATTGACAGCGTACCTGTAATAACTAAATAATAATATTAGGGGGGGGGGGCATGAGGACACATTCTTCTTAGTTGCAATGGTTGCATGGCATTCCTCAGGGCTTTGGCAAGTCTCCATCAGAAGCCCATGTGGCACACTTAGTGCACATAGATAGGAAGTGGCTGCAAATAGACTGCAGGAGATCAGCAGCACTGAGATATAACCATGGGAGGACTGACACCTCATGGGGCCCCCGGACAATAGGGGATCATGGGGCCCCTTTGTCCTCGCCAACACCCAAAAAAAGCCTATGAAAAAGCCCATGAAAGGTACCAGGGGAATCTCATGCGGCCCCCTACTGACCGCGGGCCCTCGGGCATTGCCCGAGTGCTCAAATTGTCAGTCCGCCCCTGGATATAACTAAGGATGAAAAAAAGGAGATTTTTATAAAAAAAATTGTTAAAACAGCCAATGAAATGCCATTTTGTTGAAAAATAATCAAATTTTTTTCTGCTATTATGGTCTGCCCACCCCGGCTCCAGATTCACAATGCTTTATCTGCTCCCCTTTGGCCTTCACTGTTACATTAATTAAAGAGATGTGAATATGTATGATCAGTGTCATTTCATTCTGCACATGGCACTGGGTAGCACACGCTGGCACTGTCAGGTCACCCACATTCCCCGCCGCCTGTTTTTTTTTTTCGATCGCAAGAGCCAGGCAATGACGTCAGGGCATCTCCTGACCTGCTTTCCTGCACCCGCCTCCCCCCTGCAACCTGCCAGCCTCATTCATCTTTCAAGGCAGCGATTCATGTTTAATGTCCTCTTCAGAGCAGAGATCCAGCCAGCCAAGCGCTGATAATATCTCTGGCGCGGCTCGCCGTCCTGGAGGACGCAATTAGCGCACGGTATTCCCTACATCTGTCAGATTGGGCGCTAATGAAGCCGTCATGACAGGTGTCACTCAAGGTGTTCCTGGGAAACCTTCACGACAGCCTGACAATTCAACCCACACAGGCGGCCCAGCCTACGCCTGGAGCAGGGACAATCTGACAACTCATGGGGCCCCCGGGCAATAGGGGATCATGGGGCCCCTGTGTCCTTGCCCAAACTCAAAAAAGCCTATGTAAAAGGTACCAGGGGCATCTCATAGGGCCCCCTACTGACCCCGGGCCCTCGGGCACTGCCCGAGTTTCCAAATGGCCAGTCCGCCCCTGGCCTGGAGTCGTTCTAATGTGCACCCCAGAAAGCGATCATTCCTTTATAGGGGGCTCCGAACTTCTCGGTATGAGGGCCACATTACAAATATCAGAGGGATGGAAAGAATCAGCTTTATAAATCAATGAGAAATAAACAAATGGAGACGTTTTACTCTGATCTTTGGAATCGGCGTCATATGATTCAGAACAAAAGATAAAGAACTTAAAGTCCCTGTAAAGTCCCCCTTTACATCAGAGCCCCCACCTTATATTAGAGTCCTCATTAGATTCCCCCCTTATGTAAGAGTCCCACTTTCATCAGAGTTATTATTATACAGGATTTATATAGCGCCAACAGTTTGCTCAGCGCTTTACAATATAACGGGAGACAATACAGCAACAATACAGTTCAATACAAGAGGAATAGGAGGGCCTTGCTCCTCGGAGGAGTTTCCACGAGAGTCCTCCTTACATCATAGTCCACCTTAAGAGTCCCACCCATTGCATCAAAATCCCCATCAAAGCCCTCTTACAATGTAGTCCACTTTAGGAGCCCCCCTTAAATTAGAATCCCCTTCAGAGTCCTCCTTACATCAGGGATTCCAATAGGGTCCTCCCTTACATCAGAGAGCTCCCATCAGAGCCCCCTTACATCGTAGTCCACCTTAGGAGCCCCCCTTAAATCAGAATCCCTTTCAGAATCCTCCTTACATCAGGGATTCCAATAGGGTCCTCCCTTACATCAGAGAGTTCCCATCAGAGCCCCCTTACATCATAGTCCACCTTAGGAGCCCCCTAACATCAGAATTCTCTTCAGAGCCCTCCTTACATCAAGAATCCTTACAATGGGGTCCCCCCTTACATCAGAGAGTCCCCATCAGAATGCCCTTCAGAACCCCCCCCCCCACATCAGGGTTCCCATCTGAGTCCCCTAATATCAGAGTATAGCTCCCCTTTCAACAGAGTACACCTTAGGAGTTCCTCCTTACACCAGAGTCCCCATCTACACAACCCCCCCCCACCCTCGGATCCGTTTCCCTATCAGAACTTCCCTCACATTAGGGTACCCATCAGAGCTCCCTTTGCATCACAGTCAGCCCTAGGAGTCTCCCCTTACATCAGAGTTTCCATCAGAGCCTCACTTAATTTAGGGTCCCTATCAGAGGACCTCTTACATCATAGTCTGCCTTAAGAGTTACCATTTACATTAGAATCCCCACTAACATCCCTCCTTACATGAGTCCTCATTACAGACCCCTTACATAACAGTCTGCCTTAGGAGTCCTCCTTAATTTCAGAGTACCCCTACATCAATGTCTGCTTTACGAATCTGGATCCCCCCCTTACATCAGAGTCCCCCCCTTGCATCATGTTCCCTATCAGTGGTCTTGCTTACAGTGTGGCTGTAGTCAGTGTAGCAGCAAGGTGGGAGTTCCCCCTTACATCAGAGCCCCCCCTCTTATGAAAGAAACCCCAATAAGAAAAATAAACCCCAATAAGAGTCCCTCCTTACATCACAGAGTCCTCATTACAGCCCCCCTTACATCACATTCCCTGTCATTGGCCTACCCTTACTTTCTTGCAGCATGGCTGTAGTCAGTGTAGGAGCGGGGTGGGATCTGGAGCGGGTATGGACAGAGGATCTTCCATCCTCCTGCTGGAACAGAGACATCATCAGTTGCCAAGACTCCGGCTATCCCCCGGTACAGGAAAAGCTATTTACGGTAATTAAATTGGCCATACTCAGTCTGATTTTTACTTGAATATTCGCATGAAAAATCATTCTTCAGAACATTCTTTCTTGCCGTCATTGAGTCAGCTAGTTTAGATTGAAAACCCTTTAAAAGTTTATTCAGACCTAATCCTTGAATGGAATCCCAGCAGGGCTGTCCTGAGCATGGGCACTGCCCAAGGGCCCCAGGTGCATAGGGGCCCTATGATCATTTTGCATTAACTTATACTTGCCAACTGTCCCAGGATTTGCCGGGACAGTCATACTTTTTACTAAGCTGTCCCAGGATGGCCCAGGCAGCATCACAGAACCTGAACTGTGCCCTCCAGATCCCAGTATTGTGCCCTCCTGTACTGTGCCCTCCTGACTCCCCCTGTACTGTGCCCTCCCCCCTGACTCCCCCTGTACTGTGCCCTCCTGACTCCTCTGTACCGTGCCCTCCTGACTCCCCCAGTACCGTGCCCTCCTGACTCCCCCTGTACTGTGCCCTCCTGACCCCTCTTGTACTGTGCCCTCCTGACCCCTCCTGTACTGTGCCCTCCTGACCCCTCTTGTACTGTGCCCTCCTGACCCCTCCTGTACTGTGCCCCCCTGACCCCCCTCCTGTACTGTGCCCCCTGACCCCTCCTGTACTGTGCCCCCCTGACCCCTCCTGTACTGTGCCCTCCTGACCCCCTCTCCTGTACTGTGCCCTCCTGTACGGTGCTCTCCTGTACGGTGCCCTCCTGACTCCTCCTGTACGGTGCTCTCCTGTACTGCGCCCTCCTGACTCCTCCTAAACGGTGCCCTTCTGACTCCTCCTGTACGGTGCCCTCCTGACCCCTCTTGTACTGTGCCCTCCTGACCCCTCCTGTACTGTGCCCTTCTGACTCCTCCTGTATGGTGCCCTCCTGACCCCTCTTGTACTGTGCCCTTCTGACTCCTCCTGTATGGTGCCCTCCTGACCCCTCTTGTACTGTGCCCTCCCTGACTCCCCCTGTACTGTGCCCTCCTGACTCCCCCTGTACTGTCCCCTCCTGACTCCTCTGTACTGCGCCCTCCTGACTCGTCTGTACTGCGCCCTCCTGACTCCTCCTGTACTGTGTCCTCCTGACTCCCCTGTACTGTGCCCCGCCCTGACTCCTCCTGTACTGTGCCCTCCTGACTCCCCCTGCACTGTCCCCTCCTGACTCCCCCTGCACTGTCCCCCCTCCTGACTCCCCCTGCACTGTGCCCTCCTGACTCCCGCTGTACTGTGCCCTCCTGACTCCCCCTGCACTGTGCCCTCCTGACTCCCCCTGTACTGTGCCCTCCTGACTCCCCCTGTACTGTGCCCTCCTGACTCCTCCCTGTACTGTGCCCTCCTGACCCCTCCTGTACTCTGTGCCCTCCTGACTCCCCCTGTACTGTGCCCTCCTGACTCCCCCTGCACTGTGCCCTCCTGACTCCCCCTGTACTGTGCCCTCCTGACTCCCCCTGCACTGTGCCCTCCTGACTCCCCCCCTGTACTGCGCCCTCCTGACTCCCCCTGTACTGCGCCCTCCTGACTCCCCCTGCACTGTGCCCTCCTGACTCCTCCTGTACTGTGCCCTCCTGACTGACTGCCCTCTCCTGTACTGTGCCCTCCTGACTCCCCCTGTACTGTGCCCTCCTGACTCCCCCTGTACTGTGCCCTCCTGACCCCTCCAGTACTGTGCCCTCCTGACTCCCCCCTGTACTGCGCCCTCCTGACTCCCCCCCTGTACTGTGCCCTCCTGACTCCCCCTGTACTGTGCCCTCCTGACTCCTCCTGTACTGTGCCCTCCTGACCCCTCCTGTACTGACCTCCTGACCCAAACTGCTTTTTATGAATTTATAACATTCGACCTGTAGAGGAAATAGAAGGAGAACATTC